ATCTTTTAAACAGAAAATATGATAAAACTGGATTTTATGCAGTTTTGAGTGCATCATTTCCGGTGTATATCCATCTTACAAATGGGTTGTTGAAAGCTTTTGTGTTATTTCTTAAACAGATTGATCATGGATAAACAATGGCATTCAGAAAGTGGTCAAATGTCATCGTATCCCAATTGCGTAGATAGGGTCACTTGCTTGTCTTAGTTACAGACCACCGCCATATAGCTGGAATATTGCTGAGTGCCGTTTTCAGAAGGGAAATAAAATCATTTCTAGTTTCATCAGCAATATGAGTAAAAGAGTTATGCCCCTTGTTATGTATTTCCCTTGCATTACTTTGGCAATCAATCACTGATAATTCAACTTTTAAATTTAATTTTGCACCAGTTAAAAGGCTCATGCAAGTAAATGACACCAGACACCTCAAACAGGTTGCCTCAAAAGGTCAAAAGGTCGGAACGTTCCTGCGGCAATTACCGGGAAGTTATGAGTTATGAGTTATGAGAGAAGTTTACTCAAAGGGTCATACATGTATTACTCAAATTATTAAAAAAATATATTCTCATTTTATTTAATGTCTCAGGATTCAGGATTCAATATTTCGTAAGCGTAGTGCGTGTGAGGTTTTTGTCATGAAGAGAATTAAAATTTAAAGCGCTGCCAATATCTCGGTTACAGTCATAAGACAAACAGATAAACATAAGCTTTCGCAAATTATCATATCTGTATTGTCATTAATGTTTTAAGGGGTTGCGAGTAGGGTGCTTGTGGGATGTCTGTAAATATGCTCGTTTTTTACTGTTCTACTCAAGTGTACATTTTTGCGCATTCCTTCAGTCTCATTTTGGAGATGATTAGTTAAACGGTGATTTGAGTTCGTAATGAAGAAATTGAAGGGCACGTAAAATATAACAATCGGCACGAACGAATATTAATCAATAGTTTTGTGCAAACACAGAATATGGCGCACAGAGTATCAGAACAGGCCATTCCATTTATAGAAGGGAAAATATATGATATTGCTTGTCAGTGTTTCTATCGACATCAAATCTATAATCTGTGTTTTGAAAACATAACAAATATACGACCGGTCTTGTTTACATTGAGTCTATTCGACTACTTGTTTTGTCGTCCCACGAGGGGCGAGTGATCATAGTATCCCGAGTTTATTGCTCATGATATCGCCCACTGGTTTCCTTGTCAAAACTCAGGCCATCATAACATGACTGTGCTACTGTTGACAGCGGCGCCAAATAACATTCACTCTTCGCGTATTCAAATTAATAAATTCACTGAAATGTACCAGTAGTGTTCACTCATAAAGTTGATATTCAAATTATCGTTACTTGAATATAATTATTTTTGTCACAATAAAATTCCATATAAGGAATTAATCTGCCGGCTGCAGAATGATAACATATGGTTTCTTAATTCCCCATGCATATCTTCATGTTGTAAATGTGACCTGTTTTACATTAAGTATATCCCGACTACAATAAGACCGACATGGTGATAAAGACTTGGTCAAGACGCTTTTGCAATAACTATTAAATATTTTGTTTTTCATCAGACTGCCCCCTAAACGTACGAAACCCGAACACACACCTCCCCTCCCCAAACAAACCCAATTCTCCCTGAGGAGCATTTTCCCCTAACCTTTGGACTTCATGTTTTATGTGCACCCCCTTTCTCCAAAATCCTGGATCCGCCCCTGAATCCCATTCATCCATATATCATAATAACAAAGAGATATACTCTAATAACCTTGACCTTAAATCTCATCCATGAACTAGCTAGCACCAGAACCTTTGTGAATCAAAGTGTTACAAATGTAAAGTCACTATACCTTTCTGTATATAGCCGACCCGTGAACATCCGGGGTAGAATAGGTCTTCAGCAGCCCATGCTTGCCACAAAAGGCGGCTATGCTTGTCGTAAGAGGCGACTAACGGGATCGGGTGGTCAGGCTCGCTGACTTGGTTGACAGCGCAATTGCGCAGATAGATGCTCATGCTGTTGATCACTGGATTGTCTGGTCCAGACTCGATTATTTACAGACCACCGCCATATAGCTGGAATATTGCTGAGTGCGACGTAAAACTAAACTCACTCACTCACTCTGTAAATAGTTAGTGTGCGAAATAGCCACTGGACCGCTAGACTGTGGCTAGTAAAAATTCAGTCGGGCCAGTAAATCTCCACAGTCACTGGCCCGACTGGGGTCATGGGGTTATTTTTAATATATCACTCTATCCGACTTCTTAAGTTATGATACACTTTTAAATCATGCATAAGCTGTAATACACTTTTGAATTATGGCCTGACAAATGATGGCATTTTACGTATTTGTTATCTTTTGCTTAATTTCTACATTCAAATTTCGGGCTAGTGAATTATTTTGTGGGCTTGTAACTTTCAAGCATAGCTAGACCGACTTGCTGGCAAAATTTGGAAACTATTTCGCACACTGTATATAGCCCCATTCATCCAGATACCATAATAACAAAGTTATATGCTCTGATAACCTTGACTTTCAATCTCACCCCTGAACTAACGCCAGAACTTTCTAAATCAAAATGGCGTTACAAAATGGAACGTCAGTATTACCATTTATAAATTTCAATCAGAAACATTCTAATAACAAGTGTTTCAAAACTGTGCATGTCCTCGACACGCGACATGTATCAATAATCAGTGAAAATATACGCTGTTTTCTGAAAAAAAACATTTCTGGGTTTTAGGCAGTTTTCAACATTATGCCTGGTGATCTTGACCTGTAAAAGCGAAATGTTAACTAATCTGAGCCTTGTATCGAAAGACCACGGTTTAAATGCGAGGAGATTTCTAAATGTATAGCTGCAAGCGCGTTGTGTTTCCATGCAGTTCTGCCCCTCCTATATCTCCAGGTTTCGCAGTACAGACATAATACACAGAACCCTGGTTCCCTGCCTGTGGAAGGATGGATCTGAAATTACCCGCCCTTGACTGATATCGTCATTTTTGCGGATCATTCATGTATCGATATAATTGGAAAGGGGGGTAACTCCTGTTGCCTAAAACCAAAGCCACTGCCAGTTCAACGGAAAACATCCATTCTATCTGAACTCTTTTGATGTCTTTATTTCGCGTGCCAGTCAGAGTTTAAACGTTAAATTACTTAATGAAAATCAAGGGCGGGTAATTTGTGAAAGCGAGTATCACACTACGGATCCTGGGGTTAGTGTCGACCATATTCTTTCTGAATCAATATAAAGAATAATGACAATTATTATGGATATACAACTTCTTTTATTCTGTGGAGGCGACGTCCACATAGGTTCTAATGTCGTTGTCAAGCAGCGATTAGAACCTATGTCGAAACGTCGCCTCCACAGAATAAAAGAAGTTGTATATCCATAATAATTGTCATTATTCTTCATCAACTCAACTTCTAAAATGCCCATCAAAGAAGTCAAATGAATCAATATGTTGCCACAAAAGGCGACTATGATTGTCGTAAGAGGCGACTAACGGGATCGGGTGGTCAGGCTCGCTGGCTAGGTTGACACATGTCATCGTATCCCAATTGCGCAGATCGATGCTCATGCTGTTGATCACTGGGTTTGTCTGGTTCAGACTCGATTATTTACAGACCGCCGCCATATAGCTGGAATATTGCTGAGTGCGGCGTAAAACTAAACTCACTCACTGAATCAATATGTACTTGCCAATGCTGTATTCATTGTCTGTTGTCAGGTACATATATGTTCATTTAGTTGTTTATGGTTTATCTTCAAATACGTTTTAGGACAAGGTTCTAAATCTTCAAACTGTGTAGCATATGGAGAATGTGGGAGAAACCCACTATGGACTGTATATATTTGCAAATGTGTAAAGTATTGGCTCCTTTTGATAACACTGCCTCCAAACAGATACCCATACCAGTTGTTTTTCGATATCAGCCCGGAGACGTAACAATTGGACAAACAACATACGGAATCTTCTATTTAGATACGGGTTCGGGCATGTATGGCTTGTCAAGAAGTAGGTAATGAAGAAATATTTATGAACATTTTCAAACAACGTTTATTAGATACCTCAGCTCAAATATGGCATGAACGTCTTGACAGCGATTCTCTAACATTTTACTCCTCTTTTAAATCCCTATTAGAGTGTAAACATTACAATATAACATGGCTAATGAGTTTTGAAATATTATATTTATTGCTTAAAAGGGGCCAACAAGCCAAAAGATTCCTTTCATTTCTGATTTGCAAAAGTAATATGTAGCTAAAAAATCAAAATGAGAATATAAATTATATTATGCTTACTTGAAGCTCTACACTTTTTGCACTACAAGTTCCAAATATAAACAGATAAATCGATTTCAATTAGATAAGGAAAATGATAATGTTATGGCATGGACATTTGAATGAAATGTTATGGTAGTGACACAACAACGGTAGTGACATTTTTAATAATAGCAAGTTTTATATGTTTACTTTAAATGATAATTTAATGAAATTTGTCAGTCAGGTATTTCAGGATGTTTGAAGAATATGTAATAGGCAAAAGATTTACTGATGGATGTCCCTGTCATGTAAAAAAAACAGGTAAAGACTGCATATTGACATTGACAGTGTGAAGGTATATAATGTCACTACCGTAACGGCCCTATCACAGCCGTTACACTACCCTGTCCTTACCGTAACAAAAGATCATACTTATAAAATCATGCTTATTGATATATATACAGTATAAACCTGATAAGTAAAATTTCAAGGGACTCGTCAAAATTGTTTACTTATCAGGTATTTTACTTATCCAAACTTATCAAAACCCGGAAATGACAACCATATGCATGTACAATGTATATGTATTCAGCAGAACAACAGACAACATTTGTAAGTAATATGACATGTTTTATTCCCTAACATTTCATTGCGTTAAGTAATACATTTATAATACAAAGTAATAAAAATCAAACATAATGAAACAAAATATTTTAGCCTAACAGTCTAACTTGATGTCATGAGGGATTGTCTCTTTGTGAAACATTTCTTCATTTCCTTTTCTGTAACATAGTTGGCCACCATGTTGTATCCTGTCATTACACTGTCTCCATCGTCTTGTGATATCACATAACGCCTGACGATTTCTAGGGCTGCTGTTGTGGCATCAAGAGTAGGTGGTAGAGGAGGGGGCACATCGTCTTCATCTTCGTCGTCACTGAGAAGCTGGGTCCTGGTCCTGGAATCAATAATGTTCTGGACGATGTCTTGCTCACTGGCAGGGCAGCTGGTTACTAAGTCATCATCCACACTGGCATACTGCGCAAGAGTGATGTTGTTGACAACTAGGGTGGCAAGGGGCACATCATCCTCAGGGTCGCTGTCAGCATTGGCTCGGGTGTTGGTCTGGTCTGAGATCTTGAAGCCTGCATGCAAGTAGCACTTGTTGATTGTCTGGGGTTGGACGCAGTCCCAAGCCTGTCGTAAATGTTGCATGGCATCAAGGACTGTTATGCTTACAGACTCCTTCTTGTCAATGGCCTTGATGAACTTGGTCATCAGCTGCTTTCTGTAGTGGACCTTTAAGTTGTTGATGATGCCTTGGTCCATCGGCTGAGTCTTGGATGTTGTGTTCGAAGGCAAAAACACAAGTCTGATGGCCTTCAGATTGTCTACATCAGGATGGGCTGGACAGTTGTCAACAATAAGCACAATTCGTCGCCGCTTCCGGTGCATTTTTTCGTCCAACTTAACTAGCCAATCTTGGAAAATGCTTGATGTCATCCAAGCCTTTTTATTTGCAGTGTACTCTGTGGGAAGAGACTTAACATTCTTGAAACAGCGAGGATTCATTGCTTTGCCTATTACAAGAAGTGGAAGTTTTTCTGTGCCTGTCATATTGGCTGCGACCATGTATGTCAACCTTTCTTTGCTACGTTTTCCCCGTGACAATGAGTATATGTGTATATATATATATATCATGTACCATATAATATACATAGATCTGATTCTTAGAGAGTCGGCTTCCGATAAACATACACTCTTCGGTTGACCTTTATAAGGGTGGGTGGCCTTCCGAATGTGAGCCTGGTTTAGTTTGGAAACACCCTCAGATAATTTTCCTCTTGCGATCCAGGATCTCCACGCAAACACCGTACTCTCACCAGGATAGCTGATTACACTACTTCGTTTATGGTAACAGTCGTGCTACAATCCCCCACTGTTGTTGACCAGGCCGGTATTGAGGTATCCTCTTCTGTAATGTATACATCCTGGCTTCATCGGTAATGATTCACAGACCACATGTCACGTGATTTCTTAAAAAACGTCACTAACAACCGACTTAGAGGAAGAGGAACAACATTGACAGAGCACGCTCTATACCCTGAATACCTTCTCTAAATAAGGTAAGTCAGTGCTGCTTCATGAGGGAAAGTCAAACATACAGTCGTGTGCTGTAAGTAACAGCACCCAGGTTACTATTTTTAACATGTGTCGAAATGAAGGACTGGCGCTTTAGCGTCAATGACGATGTTCAAAACCTTGCAAACAAACCTAGGTTTGCTGCGTACTCATGACGTCTGAAATTAACAAAATAGTGAGTGAGTTTATTTTTATATCCCAGTTATATGGCGGCGGTCTGTAAATAATCGAGTCTGGACAGGACAATCAAGTGATCAGCAGCAAGAGCATCGATCTGCGCGATTGGGAACCGATGACATGTGTCAACCAAGTCAGCGAGCCTGACCAACCGATCCCGTTAGTCGCCTCTTACGACAAGCATGGGTTACTGATATAACGGTAATGCTATTTTTCAGGGCATTATCATTTAAAGAAGCACGAGGTCTTCCATTAACTGCCCGACGAAGGAGGGCAGTTGAAAAAGACCGAGGGCTTCTGCAAATGATAATGCCCCCAAAAATAGCATTACCGTTATTATTGCTAAAATACATGGAATTTGTGTTGAAAAGAAAAAGGAAACAATGAAGGAATTTGACTGTAAGTTTACCCAAATCAACTTCTGACGGGGTTGACTGCCCGACTGCAATTACGTCATCGAACAATTCAAGTGACGTCACAACAGAAAGTGACGATATTCGACCTTGGCCTTTGACAAGACCATAGCCTGCAACATGTCAAACTATGTCAGTGTTCGGTTTTGGTCCATCAACAGCCTTAATAGTGCAATTGTTAAGGTTAGCACCAATAAGAAAGCCAATATTACCGCTAATTAAAGCGGGAATTCGGGTTGCTTTGACTTGTTTGGCCCAGAATATCTGCCTGTCGAAAGCCAATTAATGTCGAAGGAACCGTGAGCCCAACCACCTACTATGACGTCAGTTGACAACAGAACTGATAGTGGCCCGTCGTTAAGGTTGAGCGGTCCAATATCATTTGCAGCGGCCCGCAAATTTCTGATAATGGGAGGGCCGTTTCATGATACTTCCATGTATTTTAGCTATAAAGATCAATATTCTAACCCGGACATTCACGGGTATTAACAAAATAAGGTACAACACATGATATTGTATAACGTCGCAGTTAGCGATGTTGAGCCTGGCCAACTGCCATAGTGCCTGAACAACTGCCGTAGAATCTGGTTAATCGTCATAGATACTTGGCAGCCGCCATAGAGTCTGGCCAACCGACATAGAGCCAAGCCAAACGTCACAGAGCCGCACAACCTGTACAGAGACTGGTTAACCGTCCTAGAGTCTGGCTAACCACCACAGACCCTCACAGCCTCTAAAGAGACTCTTTAACCGTCCTAGAGTCTAAAGAGACTTGTTAATCATCACGGCGCATGACCAGCCGACCCGGGTCTTATGATACACGTTGTTTGTAAAAACATGTTTGGTACAATAAAATATCTTAAATATTTATCCCTTATCACTGGTGCATTGTGTTGACCTCGTGTCATCCAATATTCTCAACAAACAACACTTTCATAAATATTCCTTTCAGATGCGTTAGCTGTAGCAATTAATCTATTTCAGCGTACAATACATGGCATATGAAAGTATTCTGGAGAAAACTATAACATCAGATCAAATGAGGGTGTTTAAACAAGCTTCAAAGCAACAGTATTTACATTATGGCTTATAATCACGTAATTATTCTATAACCAGCCAACAACAATCGCAAAGGTTTGAATAGACCACGCGCCTATATTGTATGTTTTGGGTGAATTTGGATAGAATGTTTTGGGTGTAACTGCCTTAAGAATTCCATAACCTATGTTTACTCATCGTGCGAATTCACACAGCTATTTGCATGCATCGCGCATCATTTCCCCGAGGCCTCCTTCAAGTGGCAGCTGAAACTGCAGACGTTGTAGTAGAAGAAGTAACTGCAGCAGCTGTAGATTCAGCAGAAGTAATTGTAAAATTAGTTAAAGGAACAGAAGTAAATGCAACAGATATAGAGGAACAGAAGTAAATGTAACAAATGAGGGTGTTTAAACAAGCTTCAAAGCAACAGTATTTACATTATGGCTTATAATCACGTAATTATTCTATAACCAGCCAACAACAATCGCAAAGGTTTGAATAGACCACGCGCCTATATTGTATGTTTTGGGTGAATTTGGATAGAATGTTTTGGGTGTAACTGCCTTAAGAATTCCATAACCTATGTTTACTCATCGTGCGAATTCACACAGCTATTTGCATGCATCGCGCATCATTTCCCCGAGGCCTCCTTCAAGTGGCAGCTGAAACTGCAGACGTTGTAGTAGAAGAAGTAACTGCAGCAGCTGTAGATTCAGCAGAAGTAATTGTAAAATTAGTTAAAGGAACAGAAGTAAATGCAACAGATATAGAGGAACAGAAGTAAATGTAACAGGTGTAGAAGGAACAGAAGTAAATGTAACATGTGGAGAAGGAACAGAAGTAAATGTAACAGATATAGAAGGAACAGAAGTAAATGTAACAGGTGCAGAAGGAACAGAAGTAAATGTAACATGTGGAGAAGGAACAGAAGTAAATGTAACAGATATAGAAGGAACAGAAGTAAATGTAACATGTGTAGAAGGAACAGAAGTAAATGTAACAGATGTAGAAGGAACAGAAGTAAATGTAACAGGTGCAGAAGGAACAGAAGTAAAATGAACAACATGTGGAGAAGGAACAGAAAGTAAATGTAACATGTGGAGAAGGAACGGAAGTAAATGTAACAGGTGTAGAAGGAACAGAAGTAAATGTAACAGGATATAGAAGGAACAGAAGTAAATGTAACATGTGTAGAAGGAACAGAAGTAAATGTAACAGATGTAGAAGGAACAGAAGTAAATGTAACAGGTGTAGAAGGAACAGAAGTAAATGTAACAGGTGTAGAAGGAACAGAAGTAAATGTAACAGGTGTAGAAGGAACAGAAGTAAATGTAACAGGTGTAGAAAGGAACAGTAAAATGTAAATGTGTAGAAGGTGTAGAAGGAACAGAACAGTAAAAAATGTAACAGGTGTAGAGAAGGAACAAAGTAAAAATGTAACAGAAGAAATGTAAAGATAGAAGGAACAGAAGTAAATGTAACAGGTGTAGAAGGAACAGAAGTAAATGTAACAGGTGTAGAAGGAACAGAAGTAAATGTAACAGGTGTAGAAGGAACAGAAGTAAATGTAACAGATGTAGAAGGAACAGAAGTAAATGTAACAGATGTAGAAGGAACAGAGTAGATGCAACAGAAGAACTGAACTGAACTTGTAAGATGTAAGGAAGGAACAGAAGGAAATGTAACAGCTTGTAAGGAGGTACAGAAGGAACAGAAGTAAATGTAAAGAGGTGTAGAAGGGAACAGTAAGTAAACAGATAAAGGTGAACATAGAAAGGAACAGAAGTAAATGTAACAGATGTAGAAGGAACAGAAGTAAATGTAAGAGGTGTAGAAGGGACAGAAGTAAATGTAACAGGTATAGAAGGGACAGAAGTAAATGTAACAGATGTAGAAGGAACAGAAGTAAATGTAACAGGTGTAGAAGGAACAGAAGTAAATGTAACAGGTGTAGAAGGAACAGAAGTAAATGTAACAGGTGTAGAAGGAACAGAAGTAAATGTAACAGGTATAGAAGGAACAGAAGTAAATGTAACAGGTGTAGAAGGAACAGAAGTAAATGTAACAGGTATAGAAGGAACAGAAGTAAATGTAACAGGTATAGAAGGAACAGAAGTAAATGTACAGGTATAGAAGGGACAGAAGTAAATGAAAATATGGACAGAAGTAAATGTAACAGATGTAGAAGGAACAGTAACTGCAGCAATGTGGAAAGTAGCTGTATGGGAACTGTAGCTTGTATGGGAAAGGTAAAAGTAAGGTAAAACTGTAGAATATAGAAACAGAACTGTAGCAGAAGTATGTGCATGAACCTTGTAGCTAAATGGGAACTGTAGCTAAAAAGGTAATTTCTTGTGGGAGGCGCAGAACAGTATAGTTATAGAAGCAGAACTGTAGCAGAAGTAATAGTAGCTGTTGTAGCATGATATTTCTTGTTGTGGACTGAACAGATAATACAGCGTGATGTGGCAAGAAATCCAGAGTTGATTGAACCTCAGTAGGGTGCTGACAAATTTTGGACCTTAAACGGGATGAATTTAGCCTTCTAGTCGGAACGGCTCAGTGAAACAACTCTCTACAACAAACGTTGTCGCCGTTGGGAGCAGAACAAACGTCGATGTTGGATCCAAATCGTAATTCCATTAGTTTGGGCGTTATGGGAAGGAGAGGGTTGACAACTCTGCAGGTCTATTCCTGCAACTAAATATATTCTACGCTACCCTGAACATGAACGGTACAACCATCGTAAACAAATATAAACGCCATGAGCGAAAAAACTCAACTTGGTATGTCAACTCCTTCCTCACTGAGAAGTAGGAATCGCTTGTCAAGACGATTTTTGTTCCTGAGCTTCCATCGTGGGTCATTTGTCCACCTGCTGTCCAAACTATCACTGTGTCGATAACATTGAAGGGCGCGAGGCAGCTAAATGGTTGAAGCGTTCGCTCGTCACGCTGAACACTCGGGTTCGATACCTCACTTGGGTAAAAAGTGTGAAGCTTATTTCGGGTATCCCCCGCCGTGATATTGCTAAAAGCGGCGTAAAATCATACTCACTCACTACTAAACACTGACATTGACAGGGCATTAGTACACAGTTCACGCCGGCCTCACCTGGACCTCGTCATCTTGCAAGACCCAGTATTTTTCACATCCTTTATTCAAAGTGGGTATAATACTTCGCTATGCTAGAAAGAACATATGTTCAAGGAAACGAATAAGGGAACACAAGAAAGTACAAGTGTTCCTTTATTCTTTTCCAGGTTTCTTCACAAGGTATGTATTACACTGTGGGTGAAATTCTGGAAATAGATAAAGGAACATTTGTACTGTCATGTGTTCCCTTATTCGTTTCCATGAGTATATTTAATTATGTTCGTTACTATCTTCCCAAGCTATCTATACACTGAAGTCACATGTATGCTTTAGTAACAGAGGAAAAAAATATTGTTTTTCGTCTTGCTATTGGAAACGCTAGGCTTATTGTCCGGAACACAATGACACACACTATAACAAACAACAGCCTTGACAAGGAGACATGTGACTAAACACTCTAATTGCTCTCCGCAATGGAGGATATTAAATATATATATATGTTGAACGAGGTAGACGTGACCTCCCTGCTGGTTTGAAGCGCATCACCAATCAGAGGGGCGTCTTTGGGCGAGTTTGTTTAGGTTAAACAGAAACATGTTCTTGCGTGTTCTCGTTTGATGTCGCCCAAACACCCAGCGTCTGTGTTACTGCAGTCTAACGCTTAGTCTCTGAATATATATCATTTTGATTGTAACAAATATAGCCTATTTAAATCGAAAAGGAGCCCCAGGGAGACCAGAGATTCATTGGGAAATTTAGACTTGCTTCATTCAGGGCTTTAGCATTGCAGGGAGGGCTAGGCAGTAGGGAAGATAATGTGATTCAGGGAATGTGAGACAGATTAGTGTTACTGGGACGACTATTAGGTTACCTAAGCCGCCGATGAATGGTCTCATTAAAAATAATAATTCACTACAAAGTATAGACTAACATGGAATACGCTCCTCAAGTTTTAATGTTATATACAATTGCCTACTTATATATTTTCCTTGAAATCTGTAATACTACAATGATGTTTTCACGCCATTTCAACTGAATAAAAAAATTTAACAACATAAATTAATATTCATAGTCATTTTCATTGTGAAAAATAAATCACAATTCAATATGAATAAAGAGCACACATTGTGTTGAAGATAATAGTTCTGGGCTGATATTTCCAGCATGAAGAAAATCTTATAAACCTTTTTCTTTTGTGTCTATATTTATCATACCTTATATCAGCAGAACTTCACATACCATGTTAATTCTCTTAGTATATTAATTCAATTCTTGTTAGCTTGAAGTATTTATCAATGTAAGAAAATTTACACAAATACACAAAAAGACAAAATGATTGGGAAATATTTATGTACAGAGAACGTAACTTCTAACTTCCTCTCAAACAAGTCATCCATATATTGTTATCCTTCCTTAGACAGGGTGTGTGTGAGTTGAGTGTGTGTGTGTGTGTGTGTGAGAGAGAGTGTGTGTGTGTGTGTGTGTGTGTGTGTGTGTGTGTGTGAGAGTGAGAGTGTGTGTGTGAGTGTGAGTGTGTGTGAGTGTGTGTGTGTGTGTGTGTGTGTGTGTGTGTGTGTGTGTGTGTGTGTGTGTGTGTGTGTGTGTGTGTGTGTGTGTGTGTGTGTGTGTGTGTGTGTGTGTGTGTGTGTGTGTTTAAGCCTTGTGGTTAAAGCGTTGGCTCGTCTCACCGAAGTCCCGGGTTTGTTTCCTTCCCCACATGGGTACAGTGTGTGACTCCCATTTCTGGTGTCCCCCGCCGTGATATTGGTGGAATGTTGCTAAAAGCGGCGTAAAATTAAACTCACTCACTCACTCACTCACTCACTCACTGTTAACTACGACGCTCAACAACATTCACGCAGTGTTGAGAAATGTTTTAACCAAAACATATTCTGTTGTCGTAAAACGTCTTTGAGCTTGATAGTGTAGATGGCTTCTTACGTTAACAGTATATGTAATACAATCAAGAAACAATGCACATGATAATAATCATTTTATATCTTCACTAAGATATTAAGGGCTAGGCAGGGGCTAGGCCCCGTTCTACAAAACAATCTCAGCGCTAAGACACTCATAACTACCAAGCTCTCACATAGACTTAAGGCGGCTTAGTTTCTCATACGTTAAGCCCTATTCAACTTACACTAAGTATATGCGCTCAGTACGAACAGGAGCCATGCAGGGTTCATATCGCGGGGTTATCGATTTCCCTTTATCGATTTAAATCATTCACGTCTGTTTAAAAGCTAGTCAGAGACTCTTTACTGGTCTAAAGCCAGGATTATCCTCGATGTAAACTTTATCGCATAGACTTAAGTGGGTTATTCCACAGCTTCACCAACTCTCATAGGTTCTTTAAGTGGCGTTTAGAAGCTTGAATGATGAAGAGCAATTTTTAGAGATTGACTACTTTTATATTGCAACAGATGCGACGTTTCACTGTAGATGCTTACACCTTTATCAAGCAATTGATCAAGCAAGCGCTTGCTTGATGTCGGTAAAACTCTGATAAGTAACAAAGGTATAATACACAGTAAAACCTCACTATTCCGAACATCGTGAGTCCGGACACCTCTTCTATAGACACCTACTGTTGTGTTATATACATTTATTGTCATGGGGGCGGTGGGGTAGCCTAATGGTTAAAGCGTTCGCTCGTCACACCGAAGACCCGGGTTCGATTCCCCACATGGGTACAATGTGTGAAGCCCATTTATGGTGTTCCCCGCTTGATATTGCTAGAATATTGCTAAAAGCGGCGTAAAACTAAACTCACTCACTACAGTCAGGAGGACAATACAATAAACGTTCATATAAGCAAGGACATTCAGTGACTCGTTATGCCGACCTCTCTGTCACGTCAGTTGGGGCAAATGGCTATACAACAAGATTACAAACGATGAATACGACGCCCCTTTCAATAAAATTAGTATATCTAAAAGCGGCGTAAGATTAAACTCACTCACATCGATGTTGTCACTGAATCGCATACACGTATTAGGCTATATTTGTATGTACGATTACAAGTGACAACTTTATATAATAAGGACATATACATGTATATGACACATAACTATATACAAACAAATATGTTTCTATTTACCTATTCCACTACTTAATTCAGTCATACGTATGCGTGTATAACAATGAGAGTGAGACAGGAATAATTCAAGATTCAATTAAGAGGAGCGAGGAATCTGATGATAATCCCGTAAAGGGAGGTAACTCTTGATATTTAATACTGTGTGGACTGAAAGATTGTTAGTGTATCAGTAGTGAGTGAGTGAGTGACTGAATGATTGAGTGAGTGAGTTTAGTTTTACGCCACACTCAGCAATATAGTGTTTCAGTAGAATTCCGTCACGTTAAGAGAACTTATCTATGAGTTACATGTTGGCGGACAACACATTGAATTCCAAAGGATTTGAAAAAAATGTCTACTTTAGGTTGCATATTGCAGTATTTCAGCAATATGACGGCGGTCTGTAAATAATCGAGTGTGGACCGGTCAATCCAGTGATTGATGTAATGAGCAGCTACACAATGAGAATTCGATGAAATGCGCAAACAAAATCGGAGAGACAGAAAACCCGATCTCATTGACGGCATTATGACAATGTTATATATGTGCTCCAGAATCTATCTCAGATAGGTATGATTTAGCGGACATGTTGATGTTATAAACACTTTATTGGCACCCTCTCATGTCCAAAGAACGTATACACCCTGCGTCACAGTGACTAAACATGAAACATACAAGAAGGATGTACTCGATGATGATGTATTGGTACAGGTGTCACGGTTGTGTATTGACGTAGTCAGCCTGGTAACGTGCTGATAACGTTTGTTATTTCTTGGTCAATGGTAACTTTTGTGTGTATTCTTTCTTTACGCGACCGTTCATGTTTTGGTTATGAAGTTGAATAGTTTGAATTGAATAATAATAAGAATTGAATAATGATAATAATAATAAGAAGAATCAAAAAGAAAAAATAATAAGAATGTAAGAATAATAATAATAATAAGGGTAATAAAAAGAATTTATGGATAATGATTCAAAGTTAATAATACATATAATTTGATTATAATAATAATAATTCAAAGATAATAATATGAATTCTGTTCCGCGTTCACGTTTATATTTAACAACATATCCATAAAAGGTTGTAGCTATGCTGGGGTCAATGTGATCATACATGCTTATTAAAGAAGGAAGTACATCCCACCCTATAGCTATACACGAAGATATAACACGTCACTTATGCCTTCCCTCGGGTAATAGGTTAGACCAACTGTGACCCACACCTCAACAGACAGACCGTTGTTGCATTTGAATGGGGGGTTATCGCAAACATTTGCACTGCTGTTGAAATACTCAAGCTTCCGCCCTCCCACAGCATACCACGTGGCCGGAGGTCGATCATCTGTGACGTCACGTGACCAGTTCTGAAATCTACATCTATCAGAAACGGGTACACTGCACACGACTCCGTCACACACCTGTCATTCCCCCGAATTGGTAAGTAATCTTATATCGGCTTCTGTTTGACGCTGTCGGTTGTCCTTATCATCTAATGTTCGTGATAATCTTTCTAGCTGCAGCTCTTAGGACCATACAGAAATATATTGATTGAGAGTTGCATTCTTTCCATCCACCGACTACCGAGAGACTGCAGCGGTCATAACATTTCGTCTCCATAGTATCTATGTGTTTGACCGGCGATCGTTTCTCTGTACACCGAGACAGAAAACCTGTTTCGTCAATTATTAATATCAACTACAGTCATGCATATAACGCTGTCTATGTCATTGCCACTTCCAGACAGGGCGATAGATTATATATTACACGTTATATCGAGGAACATTGGTAGAGAAATAGACGAGGGGTGCATATACATTTCCTGGGATGATTGGGGTAAGGTGACCTCAAATTGAGGTGTGTGTGTGTTAGGGATAGTGTGGAACATATTATATGTCGATGACATGACTCCTACGGTTTTCGTATGACCAAACACAACATATATTCTACACGGATCTAGAATCACACGAGCACGCCCCATCCGTAGGTATGGGGTGCGACTTGTTTGCAGATGTCTCACGAAGCCAGGAAAGCAGGTTCTGTATAATACCCTAAAGTGGAGTGTTGTTGCTCACTCAAGCTTGAAGCTTAGCCAGCAAGTTGCCTTCAACATATCGACCGCCACAATAGACTGAACAGAGTTTGAGGAGTAATAGCCCCGGGGCTGGCTGTACAAGATGATTGTGTTGAGAATGCACAGACCATTAAATACTGAGCATTAAGCAATGTTACCTCGCTTCGCGTTATGTCACAGTCAAACTCTAAAGACATCGGACCATGAATGTAGAACGCTTAGGGTGGGGTTATGGTAAGGGAAGGGGAAGCAGTATGTGTGGGTATATGATTTGGGGTTTGGGAGGGTCATGATAACCTTCAAGCACTTAAACAAAAAAGTTCGACCTGTCTATTTCGACAGTACTGTATATAACAGTCACCCCTAATAGTTTACTCCGGGGGATCGGGTAGCTGTGTTTGTAAATGATGTCGCGCATGCAGTACATGTTGTCCTCAAGGATGTGGAGACAGCTGTTGGTTTCTTTGACGCCGAGGCGAATAATAACCAACGTTCAGTCAACAGATGTGGCGAATCAAATTTTACTGTTATGCCGTTTCTGTGAAGTCACATGATCATTCCATTGAAATACTGTTTCGTGTTAAATGTAAACTTTACGGATCGACTAAGGCAAACGGACTTTTAGCATTGATCCACTGTGGCACGTTGACACACTAAATCGTCCAGGGCAGAGTGTAGCATCGGTCGATTTTCAACCATTGGAGACATCTGATCCACTTTCAATGTCTTGCAAGTAAAATGGATGCAACGCAGTCTTGTAGAAGTAGCGATTGAGTATGCTTTGACGCCGCTTTGTGCAATATTCCAGCGATATAACGGCGTTGGACACCAGAAATGGGCTTGGCACACTGTAACCATCACGGGTGTCAAACACGGTGTTTTGTCATGACGAACGAACACTTTATCCACACCGTTACACCACCTCCCCAAGTAAATGTAAGCCTTCTACAAACAATTGCAAGTTCAATGTTTTCACCGCGGTTCACACACGATCGGGTTAGAATTGATCTTCAGCAACCCATGCTTATCATAAGAGGCGAGTCACGGGATCGGATGGTCAGGCTCGCTGACTTGGTTGACACATGCCATCGTGCCCCATATGCGTAGATCGATTCTTATGCTGTTGATCACTGGGTTCAACATCGATTATTTACAGTCATCGAGTTAAGTTTTACGCCGCTTTTAGCAATATGCGTGCGGAGTTAAATAGCAAACGAACAAAATTCACATAGGTCAGCTTGGTTAATGACCTCTACACAATATATTCATGGAATATTTCTATCAAGTGCCAATGCTTTTTAGGATAAGTTTTTTCCTCAATATTATATTAGAGCGATGAGTCACATCCCAACTTGTGTTGCTGTCAGTCTTAGTTTGTATCTCTTCCGTCAACCTAGGTGCATGTGTCGTTCTCGGGCTGCACAGCGAGGAGCGTGATGGGGCTTGTCTAGTAGCAGGCCATATTATGTCAGAGAGAGCCAACTACATGTACTCTAAAAAAACACAGGCGTTGTGTAAGAGATTAGGATACGATGTAACCTTCTTCGTATTACCAATATGGACAGGAAGGTCAAGGGCATCTTTTCTGAAACCATGCAGTTTTTTCTGGTTTCTGACTGGCTATAATGTAGCTGTTTTGTCAATTTTCTCGACAGAATTATAATTTTACTCGACGGAGGTCTTTTCATCTATTGAATATTACGTTGTAGACTGGCAAAGTTACGTCATGCGTCAATTACGTCAAATGTAGTCGTAACATTTTGTCTATAAAGATCTTTTGAAGTAGATCCAAACCTAATTGCAGTTCTCAGTAATGGCTTATTTGGAACTCTCTCAAGCATGGTGTCCCCCGTTGTGATAGTGCTGGAATATTGCTAAAAGGCGTAAAACTAAACTCACTCACTCACTCTCACAATCACTATGTTTTCGTTTTCTTTGTTGTTTAACGCCGTTATCAGCAGTATTCCAGGTATATGGCGGCGGTCTGTAAACAATCGATTCTAGACCAGACAATCCAGTAATCAACATCATGAGTATCGATCTGCTCATTTGGGATACGATGACATCTGTCAACCAAGTCAGCAAGCCTGACCACCCGATCTCGTTAGCCGCCTTTTACGTCAAGCATGGGTTGTTGAGGGACTCTGACTCCGGATCTCCACGGGTCTGAAGCACATGAGTGTTTGCATGCGATAGCCCAACGCTGAAATAATGACTCGAATATTGAAAAAATGGCATGTGACCCTTTATCAGTTGGACTCGTAAACATAATATTAAGACGTGTTTTCTCTTTGAGAATATTAAGCTGAAGTGCAGATATTAAAATTGGAATAAGAAAATATGATTATTGGGGAAAGGAATTATGTTTGTAATCTTGTCGATTTCAACCGTCATGCCTTTTTAGTTATTATGTAATCAGATTTAAGATAATCCAGATAAAGCTCAATCTGAAATGTCTCTGGATATATGTCTTGTAATTGCGTTACAGAAAACGTGATATGATATTGATTAATTGTAATACATTCAAGCCAAAAACCCTCATAAATATGTTTGTTTCTTCCGGGTTTTTTTCCCATAACGTATACTTGATTCAGCTTCATGCGAGATTAAGCTCGCTATAATTTCTGGCTGAGATACGATTCTGACGTCATGGAGAGTGGAGTGATTGAGTGACGTGTTTGTTCGTTAGTCTTTCCTCAGGAAAACATTGTCCAAGGACAGGGAAGTAATAGAACTGTCGCAACGGTCTGTCGCAAAACGTAAATGTTTCTTCACGCCCAAATACGGCAGGTGTCAAATTGAAAACGACGTCAGTACACAAGTGGAAAACTACGACCAGGAAGACTTATGCTTGTTTAGGGTTCACCTTTTGAAATATGATAATACTCGCTCGGGATGTTTACTTTTTATGTTGCTTCTAAAAGCAGCACAAACTATGGAATACTAGAAGGGACATAAAACGTTGTCGAGTTGTCGCCCCTTTTGTAGAATAAAGACCATTATTCAAAGCGTGACTATGAGATATATGGCCAAACTGTTACGCTGTTGCATTATCCGTGTTGGTTCATTTCTGCAATTTCTGCTTGTTTTTGTTAGGCGATAACGCGACAATGTCCCTTCTGGGATTCCATAACATCTAGGCGTACGAGGCCACCGCCTTCGTTATATTGACGTAATCTCTTTCACAACACACACGTGTGTATTTGCATTTATTATAGTGAGAATATGTAGAGGTTCGGTTGTAAACGGGTTGACAAGTATGCAATTCATATTGAATACACTATGAATATAACCAAAGCCGGATACTAAAAGAGTTATGGCGTCATATTGGAGCAATACTTTATGACGTCATGAGTAGTTCATGACGTGACAAACTTATAATGTCCTTTTGCCTTTTTAGAATAACAGTGGCTCATATGTATTTAAAATTATCTGAGTGTGCTTCCGTATCATAAATATCTTTTATTATGAATATATATTTTTATTCTCAATAATGGGCAAGCATAATGTATATTTTGTTATTCCTTGTATTTGGTATTCACGATACTGAAACATAGGAAAGTAAATATCATTTCATATGATGTGATTCTTGAAATAAAATAAACTTTTAAGAGGTAATTTTCGATCATTGTAGTAACTTTTAGAAACACTACTTGAATACAGTGCTTGAATACAGTGCTTGAATACAGTGCTTGAATACAGTGCTTGAATGCACAGCCTCATTTATCAAATATTTTAACATTATTTGGAGATTCAAATGATCCACAGAATCGAAAATACTAAAATTATTGGTAACATGAGACAAAGGTTCACATGTACAGCTTAAAACGTCTATATCTTCTCATCCCTTTCTCTGTCTACATTGCGTAAAAATTTCTTTGCTTTCGGATACGTAACTCCATGTCTAAAGAATAATCTGTATGAATTATTGTTGATTACAACATAGAAATGTTTACCCTTAAATAAGCAACAAAGAGTTTTTTGAATCAATATAAACTTGATGAATGAAACAGTTCATTTTATTTTCCAAGGAGACAGATTTTATAGTCATATAGTTTCACTGCGACTTAGAAGGGCAATGTTGAACTTGCATTTATCATTTGGGAAAACAAAATCTGTGTGCGACAAATCAATTTGACTCATCATCAGAGGCAAGGTAACCATAAGATTCGACACAACCGAGACTTCGACATATCAGAGTTCGACACATTGGTTTTAGCTGTAAAGAGAAGGAGAGACCGAATATCCTTTCTCTAGTAAACACCGCACATCCGTCTGTAAGGAACAAGCTGACTATTGACGCAGGTATTTGATACAGGGGACACAAAAGCCGAAAATTGTTACCACCTGTACCCCGTACTGCGCC